TAGCTAGATACATACGTCATCAGAGCTCAAGAACCCTGTAGAAAAAATGCTGAAGGTTCTAAATTCAATAGTCAGCTGAGCTGGGCTAAATGGGAGGGCTGTTCGTGCTCCATTTTGCAGTGCAACAGAGTTCGTCGCTTGGAGCCATACGCATATGCATATATAGAGGCTGGCCCCTCTCCCCTTCGCTCGTCCCTCAGCTTCGATACCTCGAGTCCTCCGTGCGTGCACAGTACATCCCCAGACGGTGTTGTTGCTTGAACTCACCAGATGCTTTGTTTGCCAGTCCCACCGCCACCATCCTCCATCCATTCTCCTCCATTTTTGCCACCTATTTTTCGCCTACTCTTTCAGAGGACGGAAAACTCCGTCCCTACCCAGTTATGTGTGTCTCTCTAATGTGGCGGTTGGTCGCGGAGTTTCTGGCTCGCCACTCAGCTTCTGCTGAACTTCGGCCGCACTGTCACTCGGCGGACGGACAAGGTGATTGATTCTTCACAGCGTCGTCTGCCTACCTACCTGCTGTTCCACCAGTGTTGGTGGTGATATGGCAATACATATTGGATGCCCTGATATCCTCCCGACGGCAAGCGCAATAGGGCAAAGACAAGCCATTTTGAATATGAGTATATTCACAAATCTCTTTCGTTCCTTGAGATGTTAAAATCTCGAGCAAAACATCTGTGTATTACACAAGCAGACTTTTGAGAAATTCTTAATGAATCATCACATTTTATAGCATCTATAAAGAAGTTCCTGTCGCTTGGACGCGCGAAACAATTTTTTCTCCAGCTACTTTTGTGTGTGTTTGAACTTCCTTCACACACTGAAAATAACACATACAGATAGATTGACTATGATCGTTTTTCAAATCAGATAATACTTTTTCTCACATGTTGATCTTCAGATTTTCAATCAAAAAAAAAAAAAAAAAAATCCGCTTCTCTCTGTGAGCGAGACGTTCTTTTATAAGGAGCTTGAGAATGACGAACGAATGTGGTGATTCATCAGACTGAGAAGTCTACCAAGATCGGATCATCTATCACAGAGTTGAAGCAGCTGTAACGGTAGGCGTATTGGGCGCGGCAGGCAGGAAGCCAACCGTCTTATGGTCTTTTGAGCCTAGGTGGTTAGTACTGTATTCCTGACCGGTGCCGATCATTACAGCAGCTACCATTCATCTGATTTCGATGATCGAAAGCATGACGATTGGAGAGCCCCAGGAGGTCATCATGTGGACATAAGTGGAATTAAGCAGTTGATATCGGAAGTGTTGAAATGGTGATCAATTCCTGCCAAAACAAGGTGCTATTTATTTCCTTGCTTGTGGTCTAAGTTTTATCCTTCTTTTAAGGACTTGACATCTTGTTGCAGAGCTAGGAGCTGTGCTAATGCCAACACCACTTGGTTTTATGCACCAGAGCAAAAAAAAAGTTACATCTACTACATTGACATGAGTAGCCTCCTGCAAAAGATAATATAGGAAAAAAAATCACCTCCATGCCCGACATCACTCTCGAGAAACTCGCCGCGGGGAATATCCAAGACGCATAAGATAGTGAGAAGGAAAGGTTCCTACACTTTCGTCGTAGGATCCTCCGCGGCTGCCTGAGGAGTAGCTGGGTATTAAGGATCTCATCTTTGATCCGTGGCTAACTGACAGTCTAGGTGTCACCGAAGAAGGGCTGAACTACTTGAAGGAGCACTGGCTCGAAGCGGATGGGGAGGAACTAGGGGACTGTGCTAACTAAGGGGGCAAGTTGCGCTGAACGCATTGGTTTTGGGCGAAGGGTTGAGTTTCCCTCTCGCCGGCCTGTGTGCTGGCAGCTGGACTATTCAGGTTCTCTTGCGGTCAAGATTACAAACTCCCTTACCAATTCTAAGCCCCTGACACTGAATGGTCGGTGCAGTTGCTTGATCGAGGAATGAGGACTTGAAATAGAACGTGAACTGTTTTCCCTCCCACCTTGATCAGTATTCAAACCCTATCAGGCAGCTACGTTTTCTGAAGCTTTACATGCGTTGGTATGTTTTCTTATCTGTCAAGATCGATATTGAATGCCTTTATTTTAAACGCCGGCGCCATTCGTTCCAAATACCACACCGTCCTAAGCAACTTGGCAGAAAATGAAACTGGCCCTCTTGAGTCCTTATCTGATTGTTTAGCGGCTGGCAACTGCCCTTTCCGAGACGCACGCCATGCTACTCATGAGTTCGACGGGCATATTTTGGAATATGACCGTAAAACCTCCTTCATGTTTAATAGCCTGAGAAAAAAAATATTGTTCCTCCTCTCTCGTCATCAGGAGAACAACAGCATATAATTTATACTAAAGGAGCGCTTTTCCAAAATTGTTAAACTGAGTTTTCCAAAATCGATTTGATCAGTTGCACTGTACAGCCCGCCGCTGCTCATTATTGTTTTGGTTTTCTTAACAGTCTTTATTATACGGAGTTGGAATTAAGAAACAGGGTTGATGATTCAAAAAAGAATTTTTTAAAAAAATGCGTTTACAGTGAATTACAATCACATGTTTGAAATGAAGATAATGGATGTCGCAAGATGCTTTGTGTATCAAAATGTGAAGTAAATAATACGATGTGTAAAAGTATACGGAATCAAAAATGGGGGAACAGAAGGAAATAAATTCCCAGCTCCAGTAGGTAAATATTTTTATCACACAATTAAGTTTTCTATTATTATCCTCATTGAATTCCCCTTCTATCCTTTTTTCTTCTCTTCACTTACGGACTCGCCCTTCAGAGTCTTCGATGAAGTCGCCGACGGGCTCATTAACCAAGTTTGCTGGATGAGTTTCCACGTGCACCACAGATATAAAATGCCAAACCCAGATGCTCCGATTAAAACGTTAAGCACAACCCATACGTCCGGCTTCCCCGACGGTGTAGCGACGAAGGCTTCAAGAAAGTGCCAGAATATCATAGCTGAATAATAAACCAAATGCAATATCTTCGTGAGAATGTGTAAATTCCCGGGGCCGTTTTGAGTCGCTTGAGAGGGCGCGGCCGATTCATTCCAATATAGGTCTAGCGACGTTGGTGGGAGGCCAAGCAGGTATGCCCACAGCAGAATGAGGACGAAGTATGGAACGCGCAATTCGTCGCGTCGTAAGAGCGGGAAGAGGGTCCACGCGCCAAGCATGTTCGCCCAGCCAACCCATGCCCGTGTTTCTTTGCTTAAGCCGCGCTCGCTGCCAAAAAGTAGGGTCATGGGGAGGAGTGGTAACAAGATGCTCTTTTCATGGACTTGAAAGGAGCATAGGAAAAATCCCCATGCCGTGCTTGCTAGTGCCGGTAGAAGAAGTGTCGGCCGAGGGTATAGGGCGATGAGCGTGCACGGCGTCGAGATCATTAGAATGGTGGCTCCAAGTGACGCACGTTGGAGTAAGGCTGACGGGAAACGGTTGAGTTTGTAGAATGTGTGGATAGTGCACCAGAAATTAGCAACCTTGTCTTCAAACAAGCCCCTGGCAAACGGGAATATGCGATGGATTGCCTGCGCGAGCTGCAGGACTGGAGGGAAAATCCACGAGGACTCATCCAGCTGCACTGGAAAGTTTTGGAGGAGAGGCGGACTGGGCAGTGACAGCTCAATGCCGCGGTATTTGTTATAGAGAGGCATGATTATGAACGGAGCGAATATCAGGCCGAACGTAAGGATCGTGATCAGACTAATGCTGATTAAACGGCCAATCCTCACGCGTAGTGAAAAACAGGAGCCAAGCATGAAGGCGAATATCGTTGGGGCAAAATACAAAGCCATCTGCTTGAAGCATAGGGACGATACGAAGAACAAACAGGCCCAGAGCATCCGGCTGGCGAACATGCTTTCCAATGCTGCGACAACTAGCCCGAGCATAACGGTATTGTATTGGAAATGTCCATGGTCTACAAGAATAGTGGCAGGCTGCATAAGGATGGCAACAAGCGCAATGGAAGAAGCCCAGACGTGAGTTCCTTGCATTCGAGAGTATCTCCTAAGAAATATAACAACGGCAGGAATGTAAACGAGGTATTCGGAGATCACGACTGTCGCACGCATATAGACTTTGAGTAAAGGGCCTTCAACTCCGCGGGAGTCATCCAGGACAAACCATGAGGGGTCAATGATCGAACCGCTATCTAATATCAGCAACAGATCAAAGATATCTAGACGAGTTTAGATTCTTACAATTTACCCAAAAGCCAACTGTGATAGGCAGTCAGGGGAGGGTAGTCCAGACCCCACCATTGTAAGTCATAGAAGTACCATAGCGACAACGGTAGATGGGTGGTGATTTCCATCCAGTGTCGCTGAGCCTCAAAGTCACCGTACATTGGAGGAGTGTTTTGGCCTGAGGTATTTCATATATTTAGCTTCATTCTCGAAATTCAATTGGGGGGATGACTTAAAGCTCACCAGAATATCCCCATAGGCCTGTGGACCAGCGAAATAACCCAACGACCATCAGAATCAGAGGTAGCACAACCCATTGGGATACACCGGCACGAGCTGTCCATAGAAACGACACGAGCGGAAAGGTGGGAGAAGGCTGAGTTGCATCCGTGTTGGTGATAAGATCGATGTTTGAGTGGGGAGCGGTCGTTGATAGCAATCTCCTCTTCTTTCGCGGGCGATGGGAAGGTGACAGACTTGGGGAGGGGCCCATTGTGTGTCGATTGACGACGACGACCATTGGTGGTGTTGAATCGACGACAATAGATGTCCCTGTGCAAGTCAATAAATTATCGTCGAGGTCGTCGGAGTTGCACCTGGCAAGCTCCAACGCGAAGTGATGAGATGGCTACCGAGGTCGTGTGGGTAACATAAAGCTTGGATCCAGCCGCTAACTTATTTTGTTCTAGTGGAACTCGTGGATGAACTGCCGGTGTTTTAGCGCGCCAAGTTTCCCAAAAGCGGTGAGCAAAATTTCCAGCCGCTGAAATTAATTTTTCCGGAAAATTCGATATATTTTTGTGTCCTCCATCTTTTTTGCGTCTTCCATTTCTTTGAACAAGATTTCCTTCTCGAACCAAGATATCTGTGGGAGTTTGCCTGTGGATCTAGAGAGATAAAGACTGGACCCGGTGCCGTCTTTTCTCCTTTTCTGTCCGGATACAAATTTAGGCTTGCTGCAAGTATTTCCGTACCTGTGGGCTTTCTGAACTTCTGAGGGCTGTGGGCTTTTTTTGAAAACCATACTGCAAAATTTCTTGTGGGACTTTCACTTGTGGGTTCTATAGACGGAGCAAGTATTTGCCTGTCTGTCATCTGTGGGCTTGAAACTAGTGGGTAACTGAGGGCAAACCATTTGCGGGTATTTTCGAGACAGAGATCTCGAGTTCAATAGGACATATAACAGCCATCTAATAGCTGTTTGTTGCTTGCTGTTCGACTGAGGGCTCAAATTGTCGCAAATACAAACCAAATACACAGTGGGTACTGAGGGTACTTTCAGAGGTTGCTGCACAGATTTTGTTCCAATACCTGTTTGACTAGAAATTACGACAATGTGAGTGCTACTCTCCTTTCTATCTTGTATTTCTTCACAGTTCCTTTATCTCTCTATTCTAGAATCGCGAGATTTAACCATGGCTAGATGAAGATGTCGAAAATAAAATCATCATCGAAGACTAGCAAAGGAGAGGACAAGGTTGTGTCCAAAGTTAAGAATGGCTCTGTGACAAAGAGTTCTGTCGCTCCAAAATCGAAGGTCAAAGAGATGGCCAAGAAAATTGTCAAGGAAGACAAGAAATCTAAGAAGAGGGAGCCGTCACCTTCGGAATCGGAGTCAGAGAGCGAGTCCAGCGATGGCACCGAGGCCTCTAGCAGCGAAAGTGAGAGTGAAAGCGAGACAGAGACAAAACCTGCTCCCACTAAAGCCGCCACCAAGACTGCCAGAGTTGAGCCCGAATCTGAATCTGAATCCGAATCCGAATCCGAATCCGAATCCGAATCCGAATCCGATTCTGTATCGGAGGAATCATCCTCGTCCGAGGATGAGAAACCTGCTACCAACGGCAAGAAGGTGGAGACAAGTGAGAGCAATGAATCTGAATCCGAAAGTGACTCTGATTCTGATTCTAACTCTGACTCCGAAGCTTCCGCTACTGAAGAAACGAAACCAGTTGCCAAAGCTGTAGCAAAGGTAAGCGAAGTTGCACTGGTGACACGCTTCAACAAAAAGTCATTGCTAATAATCTACAGGAATCAACTATAGAGGAGTCTGATAACGACAGCGATAGTTCCGAGGGATCCGAGGAAGATTCATCGGATGAATCATCGGATGATTCGGCTGAGGAATCGGCTGAGGAATCAGAAGAAGCAGAAAACGCTGAGGCTGAGAAGCCATCTTCCAAGTCTCAGAAGCGCAAGGCTGAAGACGAGGAGGAGGAGGTCTCCGCACCCAAGAAGACAAAGGTGGATTCCAATGAAGGTGGGAACCTCTTCATCGGTAACCTGTCATGGAATGTCGACGAAGAATGGCTCCGATCCGAATTCGAGGAATTCGGTGAGCTTGCTGGCGTGCGCATTGTTACCGACCGCGACAGTGGCAGGTCGAGAGGGTAAGCTGGAAACTTTACCATCACTATAGGCTACATGTAAACTGACATGATGATCCCCTATGCATAGTTTCGGATATGTTGAGTTCACCAACGCTGCGGATGCGGCCAAAGCTCACGCAGCCAAAAAGGATGCGGAGCTCGACGGCCGTAAACTGAACGTCGATTTCGCCAACGGTCGTTCCAATGCTGCCCCAAAAGAGCGTGCGCAGTCCCGCGCTCAAAACTTCGGTGACCAGACGAGCCCCGAGAGTGATACCTTGTTCATCGGTAACATCGCATTTAGCGCAAACGAGAACATGATCTCCGAGGCCTTCGCGGAACATGGATCGATTCTTGGTGTGCGTCTCCCCACCGACCCAGAGTCTGGCCGTCCCAAAGGCTTTGGCTACGTACAGTTCTCGTCGGTCGATGAGGCGCGTTCCGCTTTCCAGGCCCTCAATGGTGCTGACCTTGGAGGGCGTTCGATGCGCCTCGATTTCAGCTCCCCTCGCCAGAACTCTGGAGGCGGTGGACGTGGTGGAGGCGGACGCGGTGGCGGTCGTGGTGGCGCCCGCGGTGGACGTGGTGGTGGAGGCCGTGGTGGTGGTGCTCCCCGTGGAGGCCGTGGTGGCAGCACCAATCGTGGTGGATTTGGCGACTACCGCGGTACGAAGACCACATTTGATTAGATCACACGAAATGCTTTCGGTGGTGAATTTTCTATATATCAAGGATGTGTTGTTTTGAATTGACGATTTCAGTTGGCGCCATGGAATGACTCCCTCCCGCCATAGGTAATGTATGATATACCTGTTTTGGCTTTGTTTTGTTTATTCTGGCTTCCGTTCATGTTTATTTTGTCTTTAACCCTCTCCCCCCTAAAAGTTCTTATTTTGGTTTAGTGCAGAGGTAATTCCTTGCACCCGTTTATAACCTCGATATTATGATTTCGATTATATAGTTTTTCTCTTAAGTACTCGTAACGTGCAATTCAGATGTAACTCTTATCTTATCGTTACAAATATGCAGCTCTAAGCCCTAAACTTATTTGAGGAAGCGGGGCATCCCACGTGATGCAGCACTCTAACTTAAATTCGATATGCACACGCACTTTTGTTGCCCTAAATCCACAGATCCCTCGCTCTTACTGGACGAATCCGACACGTAATCCACCACCCAGCTCCATCGTCAAATACCACGCACTGCGTCATTCACCGCCCCATCTCCCCTTTGGCTCTTCTTTCCATGTCTCCTCCTCACCTCTTATATTTATCGTCAACTTCAACTTCTTTAACATTTCGTCCTCATCTATCCCACCTCTTTCCTCTTCTCCTTGTCTCCTTTGTTCATACTTTCTACGAGGGTGCTGGTTGCGATACGGTTATCGCGCATACCATACCACTTGCTTTCCCTCATCTGCTTCGTATTATCACCTGAGGAATACCACGGGGCCATCCAGTGGACATCCGGTCTCTGGCTTCTACCCCCCTTTACACAACCAGCTGTACAATCCTCTGTTATTCAATTGTTATTTTCTTTGTGGTTGATTTCCCTCTAGCGTGCTATCTCCTCTCAGTCGCCAATTTAGTATCAGTGCACGATTATCTCTTGGCCCTTTATTTAAGGCCTCTTCTTCCTACTTCGATCTTACCAACGTCGTTAGACCAGAAACCGTTAAAGTGCAGGGCATATTCTTTCATTTCCTCCCCGGCCAGGACTCAACATGCAGCCAAACCACCTTGAGCCTCATCGGACTATTCTTGACGGGAACCAGGAACGTTCGCTACATGGCCCCAGAGATACCACCACCGCAACTACGTCACGAGAAACTGTGATTCCATCACAAAATACGTCTGGTGGACGACATACCAGATCAGAAGGTATGTGTGCAGCTAGCGAGTGACGAACACGAAGTGATAGACACTACCGATCAAGTATCAAGCATGCATACTGATCGGCCGTACTTTCTTCTTGAACTTTCCATCTCTTTAATTATCTTTAATGTTCGCTATATTTTGTTCGTTCAACATGTACTCATTTAGTTACTATACAGATTCGTGGATAGAAATTGCGTCTCAACCGTCATCCTCTTCCCTATCTTCTGTCACTGCAAGCGATGATATTGTCACGACAGGGCTTCGGGTACGGCAGCGACGCCACCAAAGAATCCACCGCCACGCTTCTGTGGCAGGTAATTTAAATATTCATTACTCGCGCCGCTCTCCTAGTGTTCCAGGAAGTAGTCAAGATGAATATGAAGAGAGTGAGAGCGAGTCAGACCGGGTTCTGAGCAGCTCAAACGAAGATCTCTCACGCGGAAATGCGATGCTATATCGTGGGAATTTATCAACATCTGATGTCGCAATTTCAAGCGATGAAGATGACAACTCTACCGCTCTTGGTTTGACCTCGAACCCACCAACTTTCACTCCACAGCCAAATGCATTTTCACACCCTCCCGCTTCGCAAACCCAACGATCGAGACCGTCCGCTTTTACTACAAATCCGATATCAGCGCCTCCTAGCCTCCGGGCTAGATCAAGGAGAAACTCGCGCTCTAGCCTTCACCCTGCACGACTTTCGCGCCAGCATCAACATTCCCCTTACAATATGATATCCCCTTCCTACCAAGCCGATAACGATGCTGCTCTACGAGCAAGCCTTTCCACTCTTCTATCCTGCGCAGCCGCGGCTCGTGGGTTGCCCAAGCAAGACTCCCGACCCCCAACAACCGAGAGATCCGAACCTTCGTCCTTTCGATTAGTTCCCAAATCTATTGCTCTGGGAGAGGACCACAGCCAAGAATGTGCCAGGACGATAGCACCCACCTTTAATACCATCCCAGGACACTGTCACACCCCCCCAAGGTCCTCATCCTCTAAACGTGCTGCGTCGCCCGATTCAGCCCATAAAGCAAGACGAAAAACCAACTCGTCTCGCAATCACTCTCCGTCCTCAAAGCGGTCGCGCCGTGTGTCTATGTCTCAGAGTTCATCCATCATCAGCCCCACCGTTATGACCTGGGTAATCAGCGCTGGTGTGGTTGTTTTGTTCTCTGCCATCAGTTTCTCCGCTGGATACGTACTAGGGCGAGAAATAGGCCATGCTGAACATGGTCTTGGATCTACTGGACTTGATGGATTCATCAATGGGAACAGTTCGGGGAATGATCGTTTATCAAGTATCAAGGCTGGGGCTGGCTGTGGGAAGGAAGCGGTGAAAGGCGGATTGAAAAAATTTGGATGGGTTGGAGGCGGCGCGGGATCCAGTATCAGTGCTTGAAACCAACCATAATGCCTTCTCATCAACCTTAAGTATTCTTCAAAACCTCGAGGGGACGGTATTCTGTTTTCTCCAGGACGATGGAAGTTTTCACAATCCTGCTCGTCATCTCAACTTAACCCGGATTTCTTCAACACGCGCATCTAAATTTATAGCAACGCAGCTACCTCCCGGACCGCCTAGCGAAATTTTCGTCCGGATTAATAGCCATGGAAACACCTACTTTGCGTTTTCTTCTGCTAGATGAACCTAACGCAATAGTACTAATCATATCTTTCCACTTTCGACACCGGGATGAAGAGGGCTTATTTAAACATAGTTTCTGCTGGCGTTCATTCCATTCTCCCTATTTGCTTCTGGGTTATTCATCTTTCTTGTCACGGTATCTTGTTTTTTCTATTGGGATCGCGACGTCCATGATTAGCACATTAGTTTTACGTTACTTTGTGAGGTTTTCCTTCCCTCTATTTTCTATTTGCCTTTTAGCCTTTTCTTATTCCTACCATTCTCCATTCTCCATTCCTCAATTTCTGCATATTCGCTAGCCCTACGTCACATTGCGTAGTTAATTTTTGCATACTACCGTTTTATTTCGATCGTTTTATTTCTACCCAGATATTTATCACTTAGTAACTTTATATCCTCATTGCCAACGAATATGAGTTTATTTTGTGCCTACTTCTTTAGATTTTTTGCATCCAGTCGCTTGAATATGTATTTGAAGATCGATAGGGGAGGCTTGGAATTGATAAATTGCTACGAAGCGTAGAGATAGGCGGGGATCATTCTTGAATGAACGTATATTTATATAGTGGAAGTGGAGATCTTCTATTTTACATCCTTTTCATGGACAATATAAAGAAAAAAGAAATACGGCAAGGCTGGAGGGAGTGGAAGCCACTTCCCGAATAATAGCTTACCCGTATAAAAAAAAATCACCAAAAACGTGAATTATATATATATATATATATATCAAGAACCCCCCCCCCCCATATTGACGCCTAAACGTAACGCGCCAGAAGTATGCATTGTCAAATTCCAAAGTTCAAACTTTTAAAAAGAAGAAAATAAAAGCAGAACCACCATATCGTACACTCGCGGATATTTGAGCTGCAGCCCATCTCATCCCGATAATCTCCACCCCTTCTTTATAGCATATATTCCACCGCGAGCCCCGTCATTTCCGTTCCATTTTCTAAATCTTGAATCCAAACCCAGCCATACAGCTCTTATACTGCTCTATGAGCGGTCGACATTCTTGCTGCGCGGCATCGTCTGATTTGGAAAAGAGCATGCAGTCATCGCGGGCGGCTTTTTCGGTTTTGCAGACGCAGCATGGCTATGGAAGGCCGTTTTAATACAAATTTCTGTGTTAGACAATAATAGGCTATTGGCAGTGGGAGCAGTACCAAGGGGCGGTGGATTCGGTGCTTGACTGGGTTGCCCTTGTATCGCTTGGTGGGTGCGGCTGACGCGGCGACAGGAGGATATGGAA